TTTAGGGTTTAGGGGCCCTAAACCCTTAAGACTCAGGGCTTAGGGTTCCCCGGAAGGTAGTAAGCGTACTTACCCAGTAGAACCTCGGTTTCTGTGCTGGAAGCTGCCATCATGGCTTGTGTAGGTATACCCCCAACCCTAAACCCTACACCCTGAACCCAAAAGCCTACATCCCTAAACCCAAACACCCTTCATGTAGCCGGGATCACATGGGCTTGGGGGATGTGTGGAATTTCAGGCAGGCAGGGACACCTGCAGAGTTTAGGGTTTGCCTGGACCTCAGATAACCTAATTGTTTTTGAGGGTTCCTGATTCTGAGTTCGTTGTATAAGTCCCAAACAAGGTAGGTTTTCTTGGGTGTTAACTTCGGTCCTGAAGAAAATTATGCTGCTGTTTGGGTTTAGGGTTATTCATTACCTCAATCTATTCGAACTGCTTCTGTGTGACCGGCCCCTTCAGGAACAGAAAACTCCTTTGCCGAAGGTGTAGGTCGAAGGAGCTTAGGATGCTGTTGTCTACATGTGCATGTGAGCCCACGCAATCTTAAAGGATACACTGAATGGTTTTGAATAATATCGGGGCCTTTTATACTCACCCCTAGTATTTGGGGGGGGGGGGGNNTCACCAACTATTTGGGGGGGGGGGGGGTCCTTAGTATATTTCTAAAAGCCCCAAGACCCTTTTCTAATTATTAAGGCCCCTATACTCTAAACCCTTGTAGCGGCCCTTGTAGGACACTTTAGGATAACCCTTAGAAGGAGCCCCGCCGCCCTGTTCTTTTCCCAAAACCCCTTCCTAATTATTAAGGCCCCTATACTAGCCCCTTTCAAGGAAAACCCGACCAGTTAAGGGTCGATCGGTTTAGGGGCAGGTATTAGGGTTTGTAGGGTTTAGGATATAGGGTTTACGGTTCAGGGTTTAGGGTCTAGGGCTTAGGGGTAGGGGTGTAGGAATTAGGGTTTAGGGTTCAGGGTTCAGGGGTTCGGGCTCAAGGTTTGGGATGTGGGGCTTAGGGCTTAGTAGGGTGTAGGGTTTGGGGTTTAGGGCTTAGCGCTTAATTAGGGTTAAGAAATTAGGGCCTAGGGTTTGGAGTGTAGTTGGAACTTGCCTGTTGTTTGCCAGCATTTCCTTCACAGTTCAAACGCTTCAAAAGCAGCATGTGAAATACCAGTGAACAGGTTGGAACAAGCACCCAGGCTGCTAGCTTCAACTGCTATTCAGTATTCCACGAAGCGGAAGTTGAAAGATCTTCGTCAGAACTTCAAGAACTTTCAGATCGAGAATGTTGAACAATTGTTTGCATCACTGGCTCTTCGATGCAGTGCTCCTTTAAATTTGCGGCCAAACCCATCTATCAGGAATCGCAGAAAAGCCTAAGCCGCCCCACACTGCAACCCTCCCTAAACTCGAGCCTAAGCCCGAAACCCCACATGTCTCATCCCTAGATGCCCTAAGCCGCACTAATATGCGAGACGTTTTCAGGCTATTGTAGGATCTCTACATATTGATAGCGTTCTCAAGAACCATCGTACTACTTATTGAGGCTTCTGTATCAATCAAGACCCAAACCCCGAGGAATCGACGCCACTAAACCCTAAAGCCTAAAGCCTAAACCCTAAACCCCGAAGAAACGACGTCAGGCGTCCACTGAAGTGCAAGGCCCAGCCAGTCCCAGAAAGTAAGGCAGCCTGGAGCCAGGATGGGTTTCTAAGAGGGTCCTCTGTATATAAGGGTTTAGGGTTTAGGGGTTTGGGATTTAGGGTTTAGAGCCAGGATGGGTTTCTAAGGGTCCTACATGGGTTTAGGGTTTAGGGGGTTTTGGGGTTTAGGGGGTTTAGGGGTTTAGGGGTTTAGGTGGTTTTAGGCGTTTAGGGGTTTAGGGTTTAGGGGTTTAGGGTTCCAGGATGGGTTTCTAAGGGTCCTACATGGGTTCAGGGGTTTAGGGGTTTAGGGTTTAGGGTTTTGGGTCCCAGTACTGTGAGGGTGCTCACACGGTTTAGGTGTTAGGGTACTTGCCCTTTCGTTGATCTCCTTTTGTGGCTCTAGGGGTTTAGTTTAAGGTTTAGGGTTTAGGGTATAGGGTGAAGGGTTTAGGGTTTTGGGTTTAGGGTGCTGTAAAGGTTTTAGCATGGTTAGGGCGAGTTAAGGATCCACGGGGATGGGCTTCTGAGCTTTGTATAATGTTACAGACAAGCTTAACAGGTTGTATAGTGTTTTTGGTTGTACAGGGTTATGCATAGTCCGTAGGTGTTTAGGGTGTCTGCATAATTAGGTTATAAGTTATATGTGCTTTAGTGTGCTACATAGGGCGTTGTCCTGAAATTTCTTCATTTCACCCACTGTGCTTGCCACATGTGGTGGGTATCTGTTATTTGGCGAAATCTTCCCAGTGCCAATCCTGAACCCTAAGTCCCTAAACCCTTAAACCAGAAAGCCCTAGAGCGAGGAATAATGGACAAACATGGAGGACAAATAGAGGTCTGCAACAAACATGGAGGAACAATGGAGGCAGACAATTGCGGTCAAGGACATTCGTATGACCAGCCCGGCCTGACGTGTACCGGATCGCCGCGGAACATCCCAGTCTGGAGATCGCAAGCAGGGGGGTTTGCTTCAAGGAAGGCTTCGCTTCATGTAAGGTGTCATATCAGGGGATAACGCAAGGGCTTCCTATAAACCCTAAACCCTAAACCCTAAACCCTAAACCCTAGGTCTGAGGGGTCCTTAAGGGTGCCAAAAAAGGGTTCGTAGGAAAGGTTGCAGTTTCCTCTTTGCGGTGTCT